AGACAGACAGACAGACAGACAGACAGACAGACAGACAGACAGACAGACAGACAGACAGACAGACAGACAGACAGACGATCTTTCTTCACAAAAATGGCTTCGAAGAAAGACCGTCCATCATTAAACAGAGGTGGAGGCCTCCGTTTTCAGTTGTACCCCTCCTACGGCACGGCCATTGCCAGTATCACTCTACGCCCTGATAACAATAAGTGTTAATTAGGTGTCAACGATAGCCATGTGATGTATCAGTCACATGGAGGCAGGGCTTAAAAGCCTGAATTTTGCCTGAAACTCTCAGACTGAAGAAGTCTCTTGGAGAAGAGACGAAACGTTTCATTAGAGAAGAACCCGTCCAGAAGACCTATACAATTTTTTTTTCTTTTAGAATAAGAAACAGTTGTGTTCCTTTTAAAAACACTTTCTGTTGTTGTTGTTGTTGTTGTTTTCAGGAATAACCTTCAGGTTAGCTTTGCAACTATCTGACCCCATACACAGACAAAATACAAATTTCTACCACATAATTTTCTGAAAAGGTTTTGGAGATGTAAGGTTTCTGCTCGACAGTGCCAGAAGAACAAGACTTTAAAATAGCGTGCTGTTCTTCAACAAACAACTCCGCTTTTTTGAAGGAATCTTCAACACGTCAATTAAAAAAAAAACATTGATATAATTTATCTTTTATTCAGTAATGTGAAAACCCCAAGGCAGCAGAATATGTACTCTACATACTCTATGTACTTTACAAGTCTATAGTTGTATCTGCAGTAAAAAGTGAAGTTAAATTATAAAACATCAAAAGTCTGAGTCACTAATGGACTCAGTACCTCCCAGCACCACCATTCAAGAACACAACAGACCGATATCAGCTTTCTAATTCACATTATCCTCCATATTTTATCGTATATCTGCTCTTCTGTCTCCTGACCTCTTCAGATAGCTACAGCTGTTCAGAATGCAGCTAATAAATCTGTCAGTCATCCTGAGCTGACAAGCTAATGGACATGAAGGGCGTAAGCTCCTTTGTGTTCCTATAACTGGAGCTAATTTTGGTGACAAGGATGAAAAGCAAATGTTTAAATAAAAAAAGTGTTTATTAAAATGTTTGTGTACCTGCTGCTGCACCATCGAGCCGATCTGCTCTGAGAGGAGCAGCAATTTCCAGGTCCCATTAAGGCTAACAGAAAGAAAAGGTTCGGCTGCTGCAGCTGCAATTAGCAGAGGACAGGATTTATGCTCTTAGGCCGGTTCGGGTAATTATTTCTCTCGAGGGGTGAGGGGCTGGATTTTCATTTTCATGTCCTGATGTATCAAGTAATGTGAACAAGGCTGCATTGCCTGGAGACAAGAGAAAACCATATTGTGTTAGCGTGTGTGTGCGTGTACCTAAATGTGTGAGTGTGTGTGTTTTTGGTTTGTGTAACCCTTTTCTTCATCCCTGGTTCAGATTCTATACGGATCCCCTATGGTACCAAGCTTTCCCTGTACATGTCTAAGGATGCTGAAGGTACTGCAGATTCCTGCCGCGATCCGTGCTCGGCTAATAAAGAACGCTCATAAAGCTGCCCGACTAACACGCACACGCTCCCAGAGTGCACCACTCTGTCTGCTCCAAGGCGGCATGTTGACTTGGACGCCGGTTGAATGTTAAGTTAGCGTTGTGTGTCTTCCCCATCCCCCCTCCTCCTTTTGTCTCAGCTAATTGGAAGCATTAGCGTGAGAAGAGAATGGGAGGGCAGAGGGAGCGTAGAAGAAAAAAGAGAAAGTGAGACGGAAGTGATAGTTGAAACTGAGGATTTCGTAATTACAGGAAGAGCAGAGGAGGAGGGAACGCACAAGTGCAAGATGAAAATGGAGGAGCCATGCACACGAAGGAGGGGTGGGAGGGGAGGCAAAGAGGGAAGGAGAAGACTCGTCTGTCGCAGCATGATTTACAGATTGCACTGTCGCCATGGAGACTTTTGTCAGCCCTCTCTTCGATCCAAAGTGGGAGTTCAAACGGCGGTGCCACGGTCCGGTGGTGGGTGGGTATATTTGGCGGGAGGCGGGGGTTTGAAAAAGAGCTGTTTTGAGGGGCTGCTGACAAAAATCTCATCCTCCAACTGCCTGATCGCCCGCCGTCTCTGCTCCTCGGGGAGGTTTTCATTTGATGTAAAGGCATCAGTAACGCTGAGACTGAGGCGGCTGCTGACCACCATCTACCTCCACTGGCTTCAACACACACACACACACACACACATTCACAAACACCTGCAGTGGCTGGACAATTGAACTTCAATTCCTCCCGAGAGCATGCCTAACATTTACGTCACTCTGCCAGTGTGATGGAAAGCGCCACTTCCCCTGGTTCAGAGACAAGTGCATGTGGAATATATTTATCCCTCCATGATTGTATACTGTATTCCAGATAACTGCATGCTATCTCACATTTTGGCTTTTTTTTTCTTATCCCCCTGCGTGACAGCGCGGGTACATGAGCGTGGATGTGTAACCGCTCAAACACAATGTACCCGTCAAACACGAGCAGTGACCCTCTATTTTTCCTCCATGGCTCTTTCCTCTGCTCACACACACACACACACACACATCTCAGCTGAGACAGTCCTTTTTGTGCAGAGGGTTACCACCACTTTGATTTAATTTAACACCAACCTGCCTGAATGAAGCGGTCTGAGTTGCAACACCGCCCCCTGCTGGCACTTATGCTTTTGCACACCGCAGCTTCGTGAGCACGTTGTGTCATTTGAAAAAATCTCCAAACATCCATTTGTTAAGTTTATTAAGTTTTCCAGCCTCTGCTGAATAATAGATGATGCTGGATAAATAGCTTTCATTACACCGAATTACGTTTCTTTTGTAAGGATGATTAATTCGAAGAGTGCATGCTGTTTTAGTAAATGGAACTATTAATCATTTTAGAGGGTCTTCATTTGAATGAAACGTTGTTAGATGAGCTGATTAGTGTGGCTGAGTGATAGAGCTTAGGCTTAATCATGTTAAATATAAAGGTTATGTCGCATTTTTTTTCAATCTTTGAGAAACAATTTAAATATACTTACCACTCCTGATATTTCTAAAATCAGTATTTTGAGTCATCTACTTTGAATTTATTGCGCTTTATCATTAACTGTAAGAACATAAAATAGCATGCTTAAAATAAATTTGAGCCAAATTTCACAAATGCGATATGGAAGAAGTTCCTAACCGAACAGTTAAAACGTTTTTTTTTTGTTTTTTTTTGCCTACCTCCATACATTTTTTAATGTTCTATCCGTTCTCTGACACTCTACTCCTGTCTTTGCTCTCGTTTATTGTTTTATGGCCTCTTTTGTTGCCTCTTCTTTAATTCCTTGCTGATCCCCCCCGCCAGGCGAAGCAACGTGTAAGCACATCTTCAAGATTCCTTTGTGTAACTTGGTGGGCCGCAGCATCGAAAGACCCCTGAAGTCCCCCCTGGTCAACAAGGTGCTGGCGGCGCCAGCCCCCGCCATGATCGCGCCGACCCCGCTCATCTCGGCCACGCACTCGCTGTCCTTGTCCCGCATGGAGATTAAAGAGATCGCCAGCCGCACGCGGAAGGAGCTGCTCGGTATTCTGACAAATGATCCCACACTGCACAACAAATGACTTTTGTGTCGAAGCCGTGGTTTTTGTGTTTGAGCGACTCTTGTCTGAAAAGTGCTGTTTTCCAAACTCGTGTCCATTTTCTGTCACCAATTAAGGCTTGACGGAGGAGCCGAGCGGGAAATCGGACAGTGGATCGGTCAAACAGAGGAAGATGAGCAAGAAGAACACTGAAGAGGAGCCCAAAGCGCGGCCGCTGACGTCAACAAACAGTGACAGGTAAAACACGCAGCGCTACAGGAACGCATGACAGACTTTGTGTGAGTCTAAGGAGCAGATTTATCAAAGGGTCACATGTGTAAAACGACACAAACTCAATAACGTGCAAAGCTGATTTATTAATTCTGTGTGCTGAGGGCTGAGTCTGTCAAATGAGCAAAACAGCTGGTGTAATTCATTTAGCGTGTTGGCCTTTATGCAGAATATACTGTATGATGATTATCAGGATGTGCAAACTACTTGTAATCCTTCCGGACCTGACTCCACTGGATTTGTGTATCTCGGGGGAGGCTGCATCCAGTGCTGTAAGGTTACACCAGACTGTTTGTTGAAAACGCCTGTCTGACTCACAGCACATTAAAATCTGGGACTGAAGTTGCTGCTGTTCCAGTAACTGCAGCAACTGCTGGTTGACAGACATGGGAACTGATAAACGGCCCAAATCTAAGGTTTGAGAACGTTTCCATCTCCCTGATAAGGAAAACTTTAAGTACGCTGGTTGGAGTTCTAACTGGGCACAACCTGTTCAACTGCCACAAAATGGTGATGGGACTCCATGACAATGGTCTGTGTGATGCCTGTGGCATTGAACCAGAGACCTCTACTTAGACCACTGCCTGGCTCTGAGCATATAAAAGAGAAGAGTTCTCTTGGACCCCTTAATGCAGGGGTCTCCAACCAGTAGCTGGTGAGCTCATTTAAAGTAGCTCTTCAGTGTTTATGAAAAATTAGGAGAAGCAAAAGTGAATTTGTCACTGGCCAAACAAACTTTCATTTCATTCCAATCAGTCTCTTCCCCTTGCTTGTCAATCAAACAGTTTAGGGCTCATATTGGTCAATCGACAGACGACACGTGGTTGGTTGTTCGGCAGTTTTTGCACACACCTTTCATGGCCCCTTAAAGGCACAGTGTGTAGGATTTTGTCAATTCTTTTAGCCAAAATTGAGATAATCACTAATGACAATAATAAAAAAAACATGTCTAATCATTGCAGACAAAGACCTTGTTTTATTATTTTTACCTTATAAAAAGCTGTTTATGTCTCCATGGTCGCGGGTCGCCACTACAGGCAGCCGCCATCTTGTCTACGAAGGCTCATGAAGGACAAACTGCGGTGGCGACTTCAAAAACAGTTTCAGTTGTAATACTATTAATGTAATATTTGTTGTCTGTCATTGTAGCTGGAATAATTTCACTTATTAAAAACTCATAATCTTACCACTTGAAACATCACTAGCCCTGAAGCTGCTGGTTTTTGACACCTGAGAGACACCGTAGCAACTCCTTTGCATCTGGAAGCGGGGGTGGGGGTGGGGGGAGGACCAGGGAGGATGATTCAACCACTCAACCACTAGATGTCGCTGAAAACAACAAATCCTACACACTGTGCCTTTAAGATACACCGTGCCGAGCTCCTGGGAAACCCTCCCACTGTAATATAGTTCACTGCACGGGGTTTCTTCCTGCTGGAATCTACAATGCAGAAAAAAATCAGAGACCCGTCACCCAACATGTTTTGTGCACAAATCTGTCGCAGTTAAACCCTAAGTTAGTAGTGTGAAATACACTATAATATGAATGGTTAAACACAAAAAGCACATTTATGTAAATTCAGTGTTCTTCGTGGTGGTTTCATGTGAATTGAAGACAATGTTTCCTGTGCAAAACAAATTTATTCCAATGGTTTATTTTTAAGTTTAAAATTTAATATTGCAAAAAAGTAGTTCTTGGACAATTTAATTTTGCGAAAGTAGCTCTTAAGGAAAAAAGGTTTGGAGACCCCTGCCTTAATGGATCCTGAGGAGCTCAGATCACTGAGTGTTCATCTGAAGAACACAAAGGTTGGAATAAAGCTCAGTGTCTTTTTAGGGAAGAGCTTACAAGGCCCCCACTCATATGGGTTCTTCATCCATCCCCACTCAGCATATCCATTGTGCAAAATACATGATGATTATTAGAATGTGCTAAATACTGGGAAGATTACAATAATAGCATGCTGGAAATATTCACAATTAATTGAAGTGTGTATTTTTCGCATTCTTTAAGAGAGGGAAAATGATAGTTCATACTCTGTATCATCTTACTTTTGCACCTGTTATCATTTGCACATGCTGTCTTTGTAAATCATGTGCAACACGTCCACCAATTGCGCAGCCATTTTTTTTTTAGTTTGCAGCAATTAATGCTCGTTATTTGGGATCATGATAAATCAGCTTTTTTATCCTCAGCAGGTTACCGTCGGAGTCAGGTGAATCCGAGCTGGACGTCCAGCTGCACTGCTCACCCAGTTTGGAGCTGGAGTCGGAGGCGGTGGCGGCGGCACTGCAGACGGAGAGTCCACCTCTTGCCAGTGTGTTCGCGATCTCCACATCCTTCGAAAATGATGTCCTGGACCTAAAGTGAAGACAATCCTGTTGTGCACTTCTCTGCTCACTCGCTCCCATGCTGTCACTCTTTTTTTTTTTTAATTTGTTAGATTTTTTTAAAGATTTTTATTTTCTTTTTTTTACCCGGGTCTTTTCAGTCTTCGGACAGGCTCACCATCAGGGTGGGAGATAGCAGACAGGTTTGTGTGCACGTTTGTATTCACGAGCCATCTCAAAGCCGCTGTGGGTTTGGTATTTGTGTCGTTCCGCAGCAAAAAAAACCCCCAAAGAGGATGTACGGTCGCGTGTGTCTGGGAGAACAGTTTTTGAAAATCACAAAACTGTATGTAAACCTGCGCGCCGAGGTACAACAAAGGTCCGATGGTCCACAGCTCCTTCAGAAGTTGCTAAATACGTGTTGTATATTATGTGTTGTACATTATTTCAGCCCCGCTTCCAGATGTTGTATGATATGCATATGTACGTGTACATCTGTTTATACAAGAAGCTGCATACATCGACAGGCATACTTCTGTCTGCTCTGTAATGCATATTTATAGATATAAAAATCCATTTTGTTTTAACCCTTAGTGAAAGTATGATGTTTTATGGTCTCTGCACATTTTTAGTCTTTAGGCCAATTCTTATTCACTACTATTCAAGTTGGCAGGACAGGAGGCAAGGGATCCCACAAGTGCCATTTCCCAGCATCCTCCACTGAACTACAATTAAAACCGCTGTATTCTGGCATTTGTCAGTAGCGTCCGTGATTGTAGTCCATGTAAGATTAAGAAAGTTCCTTTTGTAGAATTAAATACCCAGAGGCACTCTCAAGAAGCGACATTCCTGACACATTTTACCCCACGGGAGCTAACCAAGTTTAAATCTAAATAACACACCACTGCTGCTGCAAAAACTTTGTTTCTGAGCCACAAGGATCGTCTTTGAACAGAAGAAATCGTAAACATAAGGCCAAATGTAGAAATGAAAAGCAAACCACAGCCATTGAATATGTCAGGTCTTACATGTATGTATGTTGATATTACAATGTGAAGCAAACTACACAATAAATTCAATGATTTCCTTACATGTGATAATTAACTTGTACTAAATAAAGCAAGTCACACTGAAATAGCACGCCAGTTATATAACTACGTTTCCCAAGTTTTCTTTCTGTAGCTTAGTGTGTTCAAAACCATTGATATCACTGGATTGGACATCGTAGTTTGAAAATTTTATTTAATATAAAATTAGAGTTGAAATCGTAAAACTATTAATTTAGTTTGGTTGTACAAAATTGAATTTATCCATTTGTTACCTGCCGGGTTGTGGAGGTCACTGGTTGTCCTGCAGTAACTGTCGCAAGTCCATCACAGAAAATCAGATTTATTGTAAATGAAATTTGTAAATAAATAAATAAATAAATAAATAAATAAATAAATAAATAAATAAATAGAGTGTATGTATCCAGTGTGAGAAAAAAACTAATTTGTTTTGTAATAGACTATAACATAGTGCATAAAGATAAAGGACTTGGATACAGGATATAAGCAAATTCTATACTTTTCCTTAATGTTACTTAAAACTGTATGTTTTTCTCAGTACAAACTCTCTGTTGCTGCTTTCAAACTCCATACATTTAGCTGAAAACCACCTCTCTTTTAAGTCTAGTGCTACTTTAATTGTTTTTGTAATTATTACCATTTACTGTTACAGTAGTAGTCTCAGTATTATCCACATTTTGAATACTTTAAATGAACACCTACTATAAGTGCCTGCAAACCAATCAGAGAAGGCCTCACATCAGCCAAAGACCAACATTATTTATGACTAATCTAATGTTTATTCTTTGGTGTTTCTTTGGTAATGGAGAGTGTTTATTCAATGAAGTCAGGGGAATCTTTTCCAACTACAGAATTTGCCCATTTAAAGTGAATTAGGTTAAGACCCCATGCCCAATCCGAACATGTATAGCAGTATCAAACAGAAGGATAACTTCATTGTGAAAGACAGAGTTAGAACAATATTTTAGAAACTACTGGTGTAAAAACTGGGCTTTGAGCACATTACCAGCACATACAAAGGGTATGGTTTCAATGTGTAATCTCACACCTATGACTAAATATGGTGTATCTAGAGTATTAGCTACTGATAACAATTTATCTCTGTGGTATTAAATCATTAAAGACTCAGTTAACCTTGATCACTTTGGCTATTTGGCTTTATACTTTTGCAGGTATGGATGATTTGAAAACCAAACTCAAATTTGATGTTTTAATATACCGGAGCAGGGGTCTTCAACATTTTTCCATCTGGGAGCCCCAAACCGATCGAGAGATAGAGCAAGGACCTCGCATACAGTATATATTTAATTTTATGCCTCAGTTTATCAATTTGCTACATGTTGGATTCATGGGCATGTGTGTAGACATAACTTCTAAAAAATGCATTTACAAAAAAATGTTTCAACACTTTTACAAACCCCATAACCACCACCCCTGCAGTACCCACCGTTGAAGATCTTGTACCCGAGTATTATTTTTAACACCTTGTGTAGTTTGATTGTTGAAGAATGTTAGCAAAACTCCTAGCTTTGTTCCCTAACCCTCAATATTAAACATAGACCCTTGGCTAGAGTCCTAACCCAATCCAAGTCAAAAACAGAGGTACATACAATAGGTGCACAACAGTAAACGCATAAATACAAAGGACCACCCACTCAGTTCAAGATGGAAGTAAAGTGGGGAAAAGTACCAATTACCAACCATCAATCTATATCCATACATCCTGTCCAGTGTTTTTGATTGATCCTGGTAGTTCAAACACACACTCATTGATCACCCCAATGTAGATTTTTTTCTCAGACTTTGTTTAGAATCTCATACGGCACTTTTGCCAACATAATATGTGCAATAGATAGAATGGCATTTTGACTTGGAACCACAAACACACATCAATTCCAGCTCCCTCTCTTTCTGATGTTTTAGTTTTGTTTTTGTTTTTTTCTGTAGCTGAAGGCCAGGTGGAAACAATCTCCTGTAATTGTCTCTCTGGCCATATAAACATTTCAAGTTGTGTTGGGTTCTAATGAAAAGACAGCCTAACCCAAGTCTAAATGCCAAATCCTTCAAATTAAAAGCACTTTTAAAAGTCTAGTTGGGACAAAGGAAGCAAGATTGATCTTTTGTTTTGATTCAAACATTAATGCTTCTCAAAAGAAAACAAGTACGTCCTCTGGATGGGTTCTTCTTTAATGAAGCGTTTCGTCTCTCATCCAAGAGACTTCTTCAGTCTGAGGAGTTTCAGGTAAACTCAGCTTTATAAGCACTGCCTCCACATGGTGGACAAACAGGTTTAACGTGACAATCAAATCAGTTGTTCACATGCAATATAGGACCCTCAGGATAATAATAGATTATTAGTGCTCTAATTATCTCTACTGTTCACAGAGGATCATGTGGACCATCACCTGACTATTGTTGGGGCACTAATTATCACCTATTGCTCACAGGGGGCTGAGTCATACTCGCAATAACAGTATTGTAAGAGGGGGGCAACTGGGCGTAAAGAGCTTCACCTTTGTTTAATGATGGACATTTTTTCTTTTTAAAAATGGCTTCCTTTACTCCTCCTCAAACCAACACTCCTCACTATCAATGATGAGAACATCTTCATCCCTGAAAGAGTGACCGCTGGCCTGTAGATGAGTGTAAACTGCAGAGTCCTGACCTGATGATGTAGCTCTTCTGTGTTGGCCCATCCATTTGAATGGTGGCTGTTTAGTTTCCCCGATGTATAACTGATCACAGTCCTCCTCGCCCTTAACAGCATACACAACATCAGTTTGTGCCTGGGGACTGGATCTTTGGAGTGAACTAGACCAAAGATTCAGGATTCATCATCTACAGGCCAGCGGTCACTCTTTCAGGGATGAAGATGTTCACATCCTGGATAGAGAGGAACGATTGTTTGAGAGAGGAGTAAAGGATGCCATCTTTGTGAAGAAAAACTGTCCATCATTAAACAGAGTTGGAGGCTTTCGTGTCCAGTTATCCCCCTCTTACAATGCTGTTACTGCGAGTATGACTCAGCCCACTGTGAGCAATAGGTGATAATTAGTGCCCCAACAACAGTCAGGTGATGGTGCACATGGTCCTCTACTAACAACAGCGATAATTAGAGCACTAACAATCTATTGTTAGGCTGATGGTCCTCTTTTGCGTGTGAACAGCTGATTTGATTGTCATCATTAAACTTTGTCCACCATGTGGAGGCAGTGCTTATAAAGCTGAGTTTATCCGAAACTCCTCAGACTGAAGAAGTCTCTTGGAGGAGAGACAAACTGTTTCATCAAAGAAGAACCTGTCCAGAGGACCAACTTCATTTTTTTTCTTCACAGAATACTAAGCTGCATCAGGACATTAACACTTCTCTTGTAAATGTGCAGAGAAACAGTGCGTACAACTAAAGTAGAACGTTTTGTAAGGCAACAAAAGGGGAGCGGTGGTTGTGAGAGTGCCTCTCTGTGGTGGTTTCACAATACAACAGCTGTCAGATACTGCATGAGCCTCCTCTTCTTGCTCCTCACACCTTTTTCTGTTTCTCTGCCTGCCACAGCATGAACCCCTCAGACATCTTGAAAAAGGAGGAGAAATTAGCTACTGAAATACTGCTTCAGTCTTCTGTACCAGTGGTGAAAAAAATCTCCATGTCGACCCTAACGCTCCAGGATAAGGCACTCCCAATTTCCACCTCTCCTCGGCTTTGTCACTGTTTTTTAGTTTTCAAATTCCTGTTTAGATTGTCGCTGAACCTCTCTGTGATATTGAAATGAAAATAAAAAATGTCTAAAAAAAATAAAATTGAAAAAAAAAAACACCAAGTGTCTTAAAAATATTGTATCGCCATCGTTTTTAATGCCAAGTAATAC